ATCATCAGAACATTAATAATATAAAGAAATGTCAGTTACTCATGTTGTTCCAAAGTGCATATGTGTTGAGAACTAAAGTTAGGCTTTGCTCAAATTTCGACTTCATCCAGTCAAAATTCGAAAGACCATGCTCTCTCAGTCAAGTTTTAAATCAAATTTTCATCTATTAAAAATGGAATGTTGCAGATGATAAATCGAAGAACATCAAAGTTGGACGACAAGAGATCATTAATTTAAAGGATTCTTTTGCAGAAGATAACTATTTCCCATTTGAAAAGTCACAAATACTGTTCTGTAGAGCAACTCATAGGACATCGAATGGTATATAAGAATAAAGGGTGTTTCATAATAACTGACGATAAATTGTGAACGATATTTTACATAGTTTTCCTTGACGTTGAGGGCTGAAATTTTGACGCCATATATATATCTCATCAAGATCTTCTATTTCTGAAAGTTTCAGTTCTCTAACTAAAACCAGTTGTGGAATGCATCATCAATACTGAATTGCATGAATTTTCGTACTCGATTTTTGCAATATTTTTGCTGTGAAAATATTGTAGGGTAGTTTTATGAATAGCTAGCAAAAAAATCACAAAGTATTCAAAACAGTTTTTCTCTAGCATCAGACTGTATAGAGATTTTTCCGCTGATCGTTTTGGCTAAATAATTTTTCAAATTTCATTAAGAAATGAAGATGTTATAGTCAAAATACTAAACACTGTAAAATAGCTTAAAATGTAAGGAAAAGTCGATTCATCTATCTCAAAATGGCTATAATCTGGAGAAATGTGACATAGTAGGTTTGGTAGAGGAAAGTTTGTTCTACAAAATCCTATACTCCGTTTCTCAGATACAATCGAATTGGATGAATAAATATCGATTGAATACTGTATACGATATTTGTATCAAAAAAATCTGACATCTTCTGCGTGTACGATAAATATTTTGACTATAACATCGTCATTTCTCAATGAAATTCGAAAATTTGTTTTTACCAAAATGATCACCGAAAGAAGCTCTACAACATCTGATACGAAACAAGTTTTTTTAAAGTTTTTTTGATTGTTTGATCGACTACTCATGAAACTGCCTTGCAATATTGAGTATGAAAATTTACTCATTTTAGTCTTTATAATGCATTTCACCACTAATTTTTGTTAGAGAGCTGAAACTTTCAGAAATAGAAGATCTTCATGAGATATATATGTCATGAAAATTTCAGCTCTCAACGTCAAGAAAAACTTTAAAATGTTGTTCATAATCTATCTTCAGTTATTATGAAACACCATTTATATCACTTTTTTTAACATTAAAGTATATTTACAACTATGTATAACTTAGTCGTTAGTATTATAATTGATGATTTAGTATGTTGTGAAACCAATTTATATAAACTTTTGTTTAAAATTGGCATAATACTATAGATGCAGGACAAGCCTGCAGCTTCGCACTCACACCTGTATCCACATTCAGTGCTGTTTATAACTGACTCAGTAAAGTACGTTTTTAATGAATATTTACTATTAAGACTGCCAGTTAAAAAGAAAATCGAGAGTATAATAAAGCGAAATACATAAGTATATGAAAAAAGGCAGCGGTCAATGACATTTGAACCCGAGAATGAAAAGTTAATTATCGATAAAAGTTCATCCTTGTTCATGATTGTTGATGATAACCATTGATTCTCGCTGTGAATTTGTCTTGCTGCTTTATATTCTACAGAGAAAAAAAGCATAGAATTATATTAATTTCATTGCAGCCTACGGTCGACAACACATATCTTCTTTATTTATCTATCAATTCCAATACTTTGCTTAATCTTAATTACACATTCAGGACGTACTCATATATGCTAACACCCCACACGAAACGTATACATCAAACAAAAGCACTATCTAAGTATTTTGTTCACATTAAAATTGGATTTCCAACACTAATGATATCGATGAAGGCTGAATGATAATGGAACAGTAACAAACATGTTTCTATTCCAACATTTGGTTTACTTTTCAATCAATTTCTAAAGTTATCAATAAAGAAGAAGATCACACTTCAAGGGAACAGTTCTTAAAAAGCTTTTGTTCAGATATTTTTCTCATCTGGAGGTCACATACTAAAATGAACTATTTCGATGGAGATATTATGGTAAGTGCACAATGATTATGAGGCTTCTATTCAGGGTGGGTGTGGGGTGTGGGGTGTAGGTGTGGGTCTTCCAAAGAGATATCCACGCCCACACCAACACCCAAGCACCTAAACCCACGCCCACACCCTCTTTTTCGTTTTTTTTAATGTCATTTGGGTGTAGGTGTGGCTGTGATGTCGATGAACTGACGATCCACATCCACACCTTCTGTAGAGTTTGTTTCTGCTTGGTACACGTACACTTGCATACGAAAACACTGGTTCCGAATAATAGTTCCTTTAGTTTTATATTATTATTCATCTTGAATACTCAGTGAATGCATCATACAATTTAGTTGAAAACAACTAAGAAAAGAAAATTCATGATTGTTCTATGACGATGAAATTAAATCATTTTTTCGTTGTTTTATTATCCTTCTCGAGTATTAAATTCAGCTTTTGTAGATCAGTTTGCATATTTCTTATGGTCGATTCGAGACGATGATTTTCGGCTTTTGTTTCTTCCATAGCATTGAAAAGTATCATAAATTGTTTTTGGATTCCAGCAGGATTTTTATCATGCATGTGTTCGAAACATGCTCGTTGTGTATGCTCTACGATTGGCGTCCGTTTCGATAAAGGTAGTTCACATAGTACACAAGGAATCATTTCGTATTCGCACGTTTCTTCATGCCGTTCAAGATCAGGATAATATGAAATTACGCGACATCCATTCGGAGCATATGAACAACGAACTCTCAATCTTGCCAGGCCATTCGTAGTCCGATTAGAGATTGGTATTCCGTCAAATTTTTCACAATTTTTTGTTCCATGCTGTTTTCGCTGAAAACTAAAAAAGGATGTAATTTTCCCCAAAATACCACCATAGGGACAACATTTTTCGCAAAAAACGGTTCCACAATTTTTACAAGCCTGCGGTTTCCAAAGTACATTGCCACATTCGAAGCACAGAACAGTATCGGGCAAAGATGCTTGTGATTGTGAATCGAAAACAATTCGGTTTCTATGAAGTGTATTTATTTCAACCGTAGATTTGATTTCAAGTCGTCTTCCTGTCTACTAGCCAAGAAGCAAATCAACATCATTTATGGAAAATTTATATAATCACTTACATTATTATTATCAGTGACGATACCAAGTGATGTCAATAATGTGATTTGATCGTCTTGAATACAAAAGAAAGATTTTGCCTTTGTTAATTTTATAAAATAGCTACATTATAAACAATACGTTGGACTCAATTCAATTTTAAATAATGATACAATCAGTTCATCTCGATACTCTTCAATTTTCATGAGAATAGGATTTTTCGTCTGAAAGAGACAGTGATATTGAGTACAACATTACAGATCATAGTTTTGTTAATTTATCTCGCTCATAGAATTCGACATATAAGAATATCTTTCAGGAAATAATAGAGTATTTCATTACAAAAGGCGAATGGTAGCCGGTGTCAACTCTGTGAATGTTTATCGGACTTGATGATACGTAAAAATTAGTGTGAGATAGCTCTATTTCCATGACTATAATACTTATGAAAGCTGAATTACTTCTCTATTAGAAAAACAAGATACTTATGTTGTATTTGCAAATTCACTTTTAATTTTGGCAATAATAAAAGTATATTTTGCTTCAGGTTAGAATTTAGTTGTTCTGAAAAATCGCATCGGTATATATCGAATCAAAGTATTGTTTCATAAAATATTTAAAGTTCCATAATTTCTTAACTAAACGACTGTATTGATCACTATTGTTCTCATTGATATTTGGATCTATGGTTTATGTATTGGAGACAGGTGAATATATGACTATGCAAAGTACTATTACTTTGTCTATTCAATTAGAAAATTAATAAATTATGATAGATCAAATATTGAACGCTTCTATACGCATAAGCAATTAGAAGCCTAATAAGTTAATTTGTAATTTAATAACTCTTTTTTTCATTTTTCACACTTTATAATCAATTTCATTGATAAAAAAAAACTTGTCTGATTCAAAGTCATGTGAAAAAATATCCTGAACGGTATTGGATTCGAAAACAATGAAAACAGTAGTTTATATGTGAGTAAACAATTTTAAAAATTTATTTCATGAGATATCAACTTGAAAAACTTTTCTCATTAGCTTCTAAATAGTCGCAGCAACCTTTTTTTTAATTTTAAAGAAAACTTCCGAATATCTCACTCGAATTGCATTGTGTCAGAAAAAAACCATAACCAATGTCAAACACTGCTGAATACGTCTTACAACAAAAAATAACGTACCCATTCTGTTACCTTTTATTGTTGACTAACACTATTTAAGATCAACGTTAAAAAACAGGCGATGCAAAAATTCATTTTTAAGAAACAAACTGAGGATGAAAAGTCAATAAAAGTGATTCTCATTTGTTTAAAATGACACTGTTCGTTTGAATATGAGGGAATAGAGCTGTGCCTTTGCCGAGAAAATAATAGAAAAGATTCTGTTAGATTCGTATGCTTTTCTGAAATATTTGAAGTACTGCTCATTTAAGTTTTCTAATTATGCTGAATTTCTTTAGCATAAGATCTTCTTGGTCGAATTGAAAAGCACTGCGTTGATAAATGAAAACTGTACATTTGCATATCAGAGGGATTGCTTGACATCAAGAAAGTAAATGTATTTTCAAAACCTTATGTTAAAAATGATTCAAGAACTCTTTTGTTCGATTGAAATTAAAACAATAATGTTCCCATTCAACTAATCATGAATAAATATGTATGACATATGCATTTAGCCTAGTTTTTACAATACAAATTGATTTCATTCGAGTGTTTTGGTTTCTTACTCTGTGCTTGTCGAACCTCTTGTTTGAGTTGCTGAATCTCATATCGGCATTCTTGTCGAAGTTCTTCTCTAATACTATTTATATCAGAACGACGTTCGAAAGTATCATCTCGTTGATAAAGAATTTTACAATCTGCAGTTGTCTGTGGAATCAATGAACATTGTGATTGATGTTCACTAAGATTCCTTTGCAATATTTCCATTTCGCAAGCGGTGCATTTGACAAGTTGATAACCACACATCATCTCATGTTTTTCAAGTGCTTCATATGGAATAATCTAGAGGAAAAGATTGATTAAAAATTTTCCTGATAAAACGAAAGAAAACAACTTAACCAACCTCCTTACAACCATTCGGCTGATGAATACAAGCGATTTGTAATTTAGCTAATTGTCTAGCAATGAACTTAGAACACGGTCGTTCAATGAAAGTATCGCATCGTATAGGACATTGATTTGGACGTTTTATTAACCATTGTCTGATGCACGTCGAACAGAAATGAGTCTCACACTGTTGACAAGAGACTGGTTTCCATAAAATGTTTTCACATATTGTTGAACAAACAAGTTCACTTAAATCGACTTGTGTTGAAACTTGAACACGTTCAGTAACAAGTCCAAGTTCATTTGTTGATTTCATCTGAAAAACAATGAAGTATCAACTATGACATTTATTTTTCAAGGAGATGTATCTATATAACTGATGACACGAAACTTATTGTTTGCTCAAAGTCAAAATTCTATGAACGATATTCGATTAGAATTTTCCACTTGATTGTAATCGTTTTGTGTCTACAGCATTGATCTTTGCTTTAACCTAAAAGATAACTCGACTCTACGCAACACACTACAATGAAAGATGATTAATCATCGATATGGAATTTCTGTTACCTACACAATTGGAAAGAACACAACAAAACGAGACGAGAAAAAGAACTATTCCTGTCATATTTCATGTCGAGAATAATCTACATCATATATAACGTTATTTTAATCTATTCTTTCTTTTGATAATGCCATTTTATTGCTTTATTATAGAAACGTGAATATCATCACATACTTTCTCAAACAATGAGATTAAGTCGAGAGAAAAAATTGAACCACTCTCATTCAATGAATGTGTTTTAATTTCTTGCTTTGGGTTTTCACAAAAAAGGAAATATGCTTATTTTTAATCATCCTAATTAGATTTTCCATCATTTTTCACTATTATCTTATGATCTTTACAATTTTCACACATTGTATCTGTTCTTAGCTAAAAAAAAACTTCATGCATTCTATCTACTATAAGATGGATTGCTGATCGATTTTAATGAAATTCTAAAAGCATACTAAGTAAACTTGTATCTAGATTTTATTCAACTCAACATCAATAAAATAAAATAATTTGAAAACGAACAAATAACAAACCAGACATCCCTTCATATTCTGAGTGCACGTACACATTCATCGGTTTAGATAAAGGAACACCATTATGATAAATAATGAAAAAAATGAAATATTTACTATTTATATAGAAATGTGTATCTGATGTATACGAAAAACAAGTATTACGTTCAGATGATTCACACTACATTAATAAGAATCGCGTGGACATGTAAAAAAGGCATTGAGTAAAACCTACGTGTCATTACATTGCAACAGAAAATGCATCCGGCAGGAGAACAGGTGTTCTCATAGAAAAAGAGAAAGAAAATAATAAATAGATGTCTCCGCAAACAGCAACACATCGCAGTTCTGTCAACACCGATTGGTGCAAAGAAGATGACTTTTACTATCGAAAAGAGCCAATAAGAAGTTGTTTGTAGTATCAATGAGTGACTCAGACAAATTTTTATGATATAAATATTATTATTATGACATTTTGAAGGATATATGAGGAGTTCATGAAGAATAAAATTTATCCCTTTTGATTTTTACATCTCACAAGTTATCTCTTCAATCCTTTTCATTTCCGTTTAGCAAAAAAGCTAAACTGACGAAAAGAACTAAAGGAACTAAGCACACTAAATATTATCAGACATAAGCAAGATATGTACTAAGCATAAAAGTAAAATCGAATAAAACTATTTATGTTGTGAATCTATGAACTATTCTGAAAAAGTAAATTACAATGGACAAATCGCAAAATGAAATCAGTAATTGCTCATTTGTCATATTCTCCTTATGCCGCTAATTAACATTGAGGAATCGCTGGAACATAGTTAGAACAACAATTAGAAAAAGCTGTCAGATTTCCTGCAAATCCGAGCGAAAACAAAATCGTAAAATGCGCATCTTTTTGTTTGTTGAAAACGTATTAGAACTGTTTTTTTTTTCGCTGAAGAATATAAACACTCTCATATTTTCAATTTAATGTCGTCCTAAGGACAATGGTAGGATTTCATAAACCTGATTGACTTGAAATATTATTTTGTTGAATTCTTGCAAAAATTTGTCGATACTGTACTTCAAAGTAATCCATATTTGTTGTATAAGATTGCTCTCTCAAGAGTGAATGTAAATTTTGTGGGATGCGAGTCTATGAAGTTAGCTGAGACTTTACGAATGAGTGTCGGTGTGCATACAAATGTTAGTAAGGCTTTCATACGGCGAATGATTCTTCAGCTGACGGTATGAACACGGGCATTTGGGCTAGCAATGTTCGTTTTGGAATGCATGCTTATACAGAGTGCAGACGGAAGTACCACTAAGTGTTAATTCGAAACATTTCTCTTCCAAGTGATAGCATGAGAAGCCTCGAGAACGATTTAGTGGTGGGAAATTGTTATAATATCCTATTGACTAAGCCAGGATGCTTCAATTTTAGTGTCATATACGACGAGCAAAGGGTTGCATGAACCAAAAGATAGTATCAGAATATAGGCAGCTGCACTGTTTGCTTCTGACTCACTTGTTTCCTAGAATTAATTCTAAAATCACACCCACATCCAAAGAAATACTTGGTCGATGTAAACTACCGCAAAAATCAAAAGAAAACGAAATGGTGTGGGTGTGAGTGTCGTTTCAATTTTCCTGTTTGCTGCATCGACACTCACACCCACACCCACACCTGTCAGATTCATAGCTATCTACTACAGGCTAATACTCTTTTGTTCTTTCGTAAGTCTCCTCTGAATTTCAGTATATTTTGTCCACATAGAATTTTTTGTTAGCAAAAAATCTGATAAATAAATCAGTGATGCAATATTTATCTCATTATTATACATTAGTAAAATGCAACAGTTGCTCGTTTAAGGATGATCGTGTTTCAAGCTAAACGTAATCTGTTATACTAAGTTTTTTTAGAATGATTCATATAGTTCTGCAGTGTTTACACCCGAATGATCATATCCACCAGCAACTAATACTTTTTCGTTTGTCAATATAGATGCTGTGTGATCACTTCGAATATGATTCATGTTTCCAATAGTCATCCAACTTTCTGTGAATGGATCATACAACTCAGCACTATCAAGAGCATGATCAGAATATCCACCAGCAATTAATACTTTTCCATTTGCTAATACGGATGCTGTATGATCGAATCGTCCATCCTTCATATTATGGATAGTTGTCCATGTTTCTGTAGCTGGATCATATAATTCAGCACTATTTGTATGATCATGCGTTCCACCGGTAACTAATACTTTTCCATTGGCTAATACAGATGCTGTATGGCTTTGTCGCCCGGCCGTCATATTACCAGTATATGTCCATATTTCTGTCAAAGGATCGTACAGCTCTGCATTATATTGATTACGATAATCACTTCCACCAGCGACTAAAACTCTTCCATCTTTTAACACGGATGCTGTATGATGTTCTCGCCCGCTATTCATGTTACTAGTATTTGTCCATGTTTCTGTTGATGAATCATACAGTTCAGCACTATCTAGATAGGAACCACCATTATATCCACCAGTAACTAACACTTTGCCATTTGGTAATACGGTTGCTGTATGTTCAGCTCGTGCATGTTGCATTGTATCAGTAACTGTCCAAACACCTGTTGATGGATCATACAACTCAGCTGCGTATAGATAACCATGAGAAGATTCTCCGCCTGCAACTAATACTTTTCCATTTGTTAATACAGATGTTGTGTGGAGTTCTCGTGCATTATTCATGTTACCACTAAGCGTCCACCTACCTGTTGATGGATCGTATAATTCAGTACTACTTAGTTGATATAAGCCGCTATATCCACCAGTAACTAACACTTTTCCATCGGTTAACACGGACGCTGTATGTCGATATCGCGCATTAATCAGTTTACTAGTATTACGCCAGACTAGACGGAAAATAAAAAGAAAAACAATAGTTCGAAAATTTTTTCTCCATGAAAAAGGAGAGGTACATCCTGGAAGAAAATAAACTTCACCGTAATTCAACGTTGTAGCACATATTCGATCATTCCCAGGCTAGATCTAATTTCATATTTTACTTTTTTCAATTGGACGCTGTAGATGTGTATTGGATGTAAACTAAATATTATGTACCTGTCGCATCTATACTCGACCTTGGAACTAAATAAAAATCTGTTCCATATTATTTACGATTAAGTATCATGAGAGAGCAACAAACCGAGAGAATCCCAATCATGAATTCATTGGCTCGAAAAGTAGCACTTCGTGAGTTGACGAGCGTTACCGAAAAACTCACCTAACTGCTGATTGGACGTTGTAGTTGTTGTTGTTTGTGGTATAGTTGTTGAGGACACTTCTGTTGTTATTGATGGTGTAGATATAATGATAGTAGTGCTAATAGTGGTTTCGGACTTCCTCGGTGCAAGAATAACAAATTTTATTATCAGTGAAAGGGTAAATACAACTATTGCTAGGACAATGACAGATATACAGATGATTTTAGCTCGATGATGGTGCCAACATTGATAGTTATTCATTTTTGTAACAGTACTCTCGCTGAATAATGGGTTATGATTCATGATGTGCCTTAAAAAAGAATTCTAACTAAAAAACTACAAGGAGGTAGTATTTTATTATTTTCACCGTAGTAACTAAAGATAAAAGATATTCTTTCGAGCACACACAGTTCTGCTTTGTCATATGATAACGCAGTATACAGCAGATGTGAGTATGATGGTGCAAAACTATCTTTTTCTGAAAAACTTCGCAATATTTATAATTGTGGATGAATGAGATGATTCTTTTGCTCTTCTCAACAATCCTCCGTAGTATGTTGAACACCTTGCAACATGTCCAAGTTTTCTTGACTCATTATAACGTACTTTTATGAAGCCACATTTTTTAAAACGTTACCCCATGTGAAAATTTCAGCAAAAAAGGCAGCTTAGAATAGCTTACAAACGTAAATATTTTCACATGAGTCACTAGTATAATTCTCAATAATATAGTTTGCTTCAATTGTAATACCATTATTGCAATACGATCAAGCCAGATAATTCTCAATTCATACGTGTGAGGCGGCTTTCAAGGTATTAGACTTATTTCACGGATCATTTTTCCATTATGACGATATGCAAATGTCGAATGATCTCTATTAAAGAAAAGTCGAGAAGAAATAAATCCTTTGACACAATGAATTGTCAATGGAAATGATGGACGAATAAGATAAGATATCTGACTGTTTCTTCGTGCACTTTGACTGTCAAAGGTGCACTACAAATGTTTCAACTCGACTTTAACTGCAGTCATTCTATTACATTTACTTCGTATACAACGTGGCATCAAAATTCTTTTTTTCAAGTATACACATTGTTAGATGATTGAGAGAACGCAAATAAATACATTAAGTTATGAATTTGTCAAATAAATTCATAGTATCAAATATAAGGGGGAGAGGAACCGCTGATAGTGTGACTCCAAGTTATTCTAATATCTGAAATCAATTGTCTTGTTTTTGACGACTTTGGTTTTATAGAACCAACTGTTTTCGATTTAGATTTTGATAATTCCATGAATCTTGAAGGACCTTCTGAAATTTACGTGATTTCAGTTGATCCTAATACTTTAGGATCAGCTGCTTTCTTCTAGATAAAAATGACGTTCAAATAAGAAAATTCGACGTGAAACAAATGAGACAATAAAGATGTGATATTCGAAAAGAAACTGATGTCAAAAATTTATAACTAAAGTATAGTTTCGCTTTATCATGTAGGAACGTTAGTTTATTTTTATTTATAATTAGAATATAGAATAAAGAATACTTTTTTTGTCAGAACAAATAATAATATTTAAATGTATTACTTCACATTATTTAACTTTATACTAAAGTAGAAAAATAAAATTAATTTTACTTATATAAGTATAAGAATAAAAATAAAGGAATATTTTTTTGCTAAATATAATATCTCGGGGGTGAGTAAGATAACCATCTCACACATACTCACATCCATCTGGAAAAAACCTGTCAAAGGCTGCAACTTTTTTTCTGAAAGTCACTAAATGATCTACCAGATTTCGGTTCGCAATTCAGTCTTGAAGCAGTTATCATCTATGTAGAAGAATCACACAAGCAGACTCTGTTTCTTTTTTTTATGTATCTCTAGATTACAGCTTGTAATACTGCCCTAACTATGTTTATAACAAGAAGAAGAGGGTACAACCAGTCATTATAATTGTATTTTTCATGTGTGTCACGGTCTATGATCCACAATGTAAAAATCAATGAACTGATGGAGGTACTAATAATAAAACTGCTATTTGAATTTGTCATTTACTTATAACAACTGATGTTAAACAATATCTATGCTTTTTCTGCCTGACCTTCTTAATATGAACTATAGAGTTGATTTTGTACTTGAGGTGGTACTATCAATTTGTTTGATAGCCAGATACTTCAACAACTGCATCGAATAATCAGCTGAGATACTTTAGATTACAGAATTAAATCTTTTCTGATATTTTCAGTCATAATAATCCGATGCCTTCACCGTGTAATTGATACAATAAAATTTCTAATTTTTCCTACCTGTTATCTACAAAAAAACCCTTTGTTATTATTAAATGAAACAGGACTCCGTGCGACATATGCAGACTTTGTTTTAGCTGACGGAGCGTTAAAAAATGAAGTACCATGAGTTGCTGCATAGTTGACCTTTAGAGTTTTAGAATAGAGCTGATTTCAATCGGAATCTATTTTAATGCTTCTTTTAGAATGGATTTATACTGACAAGATGACATACGCACACTACCGGCATACAGCATCTATACTATCAAATGGATAAGTATTAGTTGCTGGTTGCTGGAATAGTGGTGGTTCCCTCAATAGCACTGAATTGTATTAATCAATATTACTTAGGGTACACAAAAAGTAGTGAGAGTAGTATTGCAATTCCTTATAAAAGCTTTAAGAAACTTTCTCTCTATATAGTCAGATAGAAAAAAGAATACTCTATTTTGTTGGGCTATTTGATCGCACCCCAACTAATATCATAATAATAAAATTTCGATAAAATGTGTTTTATACGCATGTATCATCGTTACATGAATGCTAGTGAATATTTTTTGAATAACTTTTGATAGAAATAAGATAGAGAACTGCGGTTTTCAGCATTGAAAAGAGGATATGAAGATGCATCGAATCGTGTATTATAAGTTTTTCTAATATTGATTTCTGAAGTATTTATATTCAATTTTCTAACTATCTGAAAAATGCTTTTTTTATGAAAAAAGAAAAAAACCAGAAAAGTGAGCATTCTCAGGGAAATTGCTAGAAAATCGCATGAAATGCTCGACTAGAATACGTATTATTCATCTCAGCCTTTCACAGTTTGTAGTTCTTGAATTAGAAGTTTGAATGAGCACCTGATTATTGAAACTTTACTGTAAACATCTTACAGGATAGACTTGTTCTTAAAAAAATCAATTGAAAACCTAATAATAAGTAGATCGGAAAATTCTATAATGTTTGAATCGATGCATCTTCACCTGCTCTTTCGAATGGCGAAAACCGCACCTCTCTCTCTTGTTTCTATCAAAAGTTATTCAAAAAACACCCGTTCACCTTTTTTGAAATAAGCTTCAGTCTAACCGTGAGGCATGCGAACAAAACAGCTCTTATCGGAATTTTGTTATTATAACTATAGATGAAGTATGATCAAATAGCATAGAAAAATAGAGCATACTTTTCTCTATCAGACTTTATGGAGAGAAAATTTCTTAAAGCTTTTATCAAGAATTACAGTACTACTCTCACTACTTTTGGTACGCCCTAAGTAGCAGGACCAGATATCTTTTTAACTGAAATATACAATTGTGAGGGTGAGGGTAGACAGATAGAACCACCACGACGCGTTTCGGCGGAATTTCACAGTCCCATCAGGTGGTTTAAATAATCTGCATATATGAAAAAGCAATTAAGTAGAAAAGAATTCTACCAGAAATCCCAAAATTAGCTCCTTTAAATCTCGAGAACAACGGATAGTCTTTCACTGCAAAGGGTAAGTTTGAGGAATGTATTTTTTAGAGACAGTCACAGTTAGTTGAGAAAGATGTAACTTCTTTTAGAGATAAGTCGGTCATGAGTAATTATAATAGCATATGAGCAGGAGGAAGTTGTTGCGTTTTTTGAATGTAGTTTGTTGTTTTGGTTATTATTGTTTGTTTACAATATAGTATCTTCGGAAAGAGATGAGAAATGTCTTGAATTTTGAAGGGTGAAAGTCTAAGGCAATAGAGAAGTTCCTAATAGAGACATCAACATACTTTTGAATGACGTTGTTTGGTAAATTCTCGTGTTGTTAAATGTTTATAGCATTTTATATTGAAATTGACCTGCACAATATAACAATTTAACTGTTGTATCGGACACGCACGATTGTATTGAAGTAAATTTTGAGATTAATTAGTGAAGCCAGGGTTTGGGTGCATAGAAGTTCAAATTACCCGCCTACACATTCATAGTTCCTCATCCACACCCCACACTTACTCCCAGACTATCATCCGACCCGATGGACTTCACCAATCACCTACGTCATGTGAATACTGAAGCTGGTAGAAACTTGATATTTTTCTGAAATATTATAGCAGCAAGACGGCAGAAAGAACAATTGAGGTACCCGATTAGACAGATCATGCCCTACAGGAATAAATGAAAGTGCGAGCGCGTTAACAGATTTAATTATCATTGGTTGTCTTCTGTTATATTTGCGCGTCCTTCTATGTGTTGTGATATTTCTCGTGTTGTTAGGTAATATGCATTTTCCCCTTTCTATGATAAATATCTTCGTTCTTTTCTGTCATATTTTCTCTATCCTATGAAATGTTTTTTCCCTGTTGATCTCTCTGTTTTCTCTTAGAAGTGCATCCTAAAAGCTCTCATCTATTACCATATTTTAGGCACTCTTCACCGATATATATATAGTAAGAGATTATTTTCTAAACAACAGCATAGGTGCATTTGATATATTCGTCGTTAATTATTGCTTGATAGAATGAAAAAGTTTTTCGATAACTGTAATAAATTCATAGGTGTCAGTTATAAGAAAAATCAGATGCCTACACCGACCCCGTTCCAATACGCATGCATCATCTGAATAAGTGTTGCTTACCTTACCTTTCGGCATCTGTCTTTTGTGCTCTCGATAAAATACACGATCACCGTACCGGTACATATATCTCCTCAAATGAAACGAAATAAAAAATATTTTTCTCTTTTCATTTAATTTAATTCTTGGAATTAAATGAAAATCAATTTCATATTCACTTTTACGTATTCAAATTGATATCTATAAAATTTAAGATGTAGATGATTTGCAAATAGTGAACGTTATCGTCTTTCAACAGCACCTTGATGATATGAAGCGCCTTCAAAAACTCTTTTCTTCTACTAGATGTCGCACCAATGTTGTTGTAAGAAAGAGCCAAATCTTTTCCACAAAATTTTCATTGCTTTTTAATAAGATGATAGTGCATTCGAGCAGTCATATACATTGTAATACAAAAAAAACAATGCTGAGGTAAAAACGGGCAAATTTAGGATAATATGGAGGACAATTTTGGTAGATTTTCTGTGCTCCTTCATAAGCTGAAAGTACATTCCAATAGGTAGCCATGCTGCAATACACGATATCATGGATGTGAATGTGGATGAACGATATACCAAACTACCCACCTACACATCCGCACATCCATATTCACATAAGACGAGTTGGCTAGTTACTTGAGAATTATGTTTACCTCAAATACGTAGCTAAATATTACGTGGCAAATTCGCTAAATTCAACACGATGAAGAGTAATTCTCAAAAGATAATTGGGCATACATTGTTCAATTCAAAACCGAAATCAGTCGGATTACCAAGACAATTGTCAAATATGACTGATCTCTACCCTAACTCCTCTCGAAACAATAAATTGCACGCGGATATTGCTTAATTACAATATTTTCTCTGCAGCAATCTATTTCTTATGCATTTGCTGACAGAGATAGTTTACGTTGTTATAATGACTTTGAGTACGTTGGCAAGAAACTGTTGAAATGTGCTGACAATTCGTTCATCTCATTCGCCCATGACATCTTGGTCGAAATCATCGATGCCAATATTTTTCTTTTCAATTACGCAACTGGATGTGGGTCATTTGGGTATGGATATAAGTGAAGGTACGGTGTAATTGCACAAAGTACTCACACTCAATCTCAAGATTGACTTTTCATTTCCATTCTCAACAAGAAAAATGTTAGCAATCATAGTAAGGAACCACTATTGATGCTCAAGTATTTCAAATAGGTATTGCTCCCCGTCTCAGTCAGTAAATTTAAACAAGTGTTAAAATTGAATGCCAACGAATTTTTCTGTCACTCATTACAGACCAAGCGCCATTTTTTCGACAATCACAACCTGAAACTTTAATTCAATTAATTTTTCAACTTTCAAGATAGCTGTGAGGATGTGGGTGGAGGTTTGCGGATTTGAGCGTGAACCTGAGTACACTTGTGGGCTTCATCTTAATTCACAAACCCACAGCCATAACTCAAATCCCACATCTACATCCACATCCCACACTAGGGGTGTCAGCTTAGCATGAGTATTGCATTAAAAAATACAAATTTTAATGCTTTTGTATTAGTGTTAAAATATTAACTTAATACTTTGGCATTAGCGTTATAATTTGTATTAAGATAATGCCAATATCTATCATGATTATGGGTCATTTTTTGAGATATACTGTTTTAGTTTTATTATCAGTAGCTATTTACTGAAATATCCTATAGAACTCACATTTTAGAAAAAATTGTCTTTGGATGGCGCTTAAATGCATGTATAGTAATATTTTCTCAAGAAGAATAATTACATTCCCAGCAGAATCAATCCGACCACAGGATCCGATCAGGTCCGATCGATTTCCAGTAGCATTCTATCGGATTTCATGAGAACCCTGTATGAATATCGTCGAAATTCAGGTTGTGGACCGACAGTCGGATCCTTAGTGTCGGAATCTGATAGAATCTTATTTCAGTAATCCGATAGGAAAATGCTGTGATAAACTTCTCGTATCCCAGTGTCGGAGACCGATGAGAATCCTACAACTTCCAACAAGTGAACTCTGTAGAATTTTTATTGGTGGGATTCCTACAAGATTTCTGTAGAAAACTATCGGATTCCTGCAGGATCCGTATGGTTTCAGCACTAGTGATGCCAACATATTTCCTACAGTCGATTTTTATCGGATTTCCTAACTTTCTATGGGATCTGAAGTGTTACGATGAAATAACAGTATAAGATATTTTCACCCCGATTATTCGCGTATGCTATTTGAATACTCACAGTATCCCATGTAGGGGTGCAACAAATCCTATTTCTCTACATAAAGATTGTAAATTTTCTGTATGAAGACGCACCAGATCCAAGCAAATCTTTGTATCGAGTATAACCAGTTTTATATACTATACTCAATAATGGTATAAAATGACCAAATCTAATCAGGGCACTTCTAAGATTTGGTAGGATTTGGTGAAAAAATTACAGATTTTACCAAATCGTAGAAATGTCTTGGTTTGATTTGGTTATTTGACGCCATTACCGGGTAAAGAAAATAAAACTGGATATAATCGATACAAATATTTGGTTGGATTCGGTGGATCTTCATACTGAAAATTTCCAGTCTTTATATAGAAAAGTAGGATTTGGTGCACCCTTAATCCCATGCACAAAAAACAATAGGGTCGACTGTCACAACCATTTTGACAAATCCAACGAAGAAATATTCTCACAAACCGCTATATAATTTTATTCGCGAAGTTTCCATAGGGGTCACTTCATCACTGCAGTATACAATCGATTTGCTACAAGTTGACTATAACGGGTTGGGTGTGGGTGTGGGTAACTCTTTGAGTACCCACATCTACCCTCTCAGAAGACTAGAAATTGATTGGGTCTGGAAGCGACTCGACTATCTAAACTAATAGAGATTGATCAAATCGTGTATTTCTTATATGAAATTAAGACGAAAGTTTCAGAACTTTAATGGCAGCGTAGGTGCATATTCAACCACAATAAGACTACCAAAATTTTACGTTTCTCGAGCAATGTAATGATCTGAAACATTCATAAAGAATACAATCTTTCTAATGTACTTTTTTGTGATATGCCTCCTCGTTGCAATGATTGTTCTGGAACCTTGGTCTCAATTTGTTATAAATCATATAGAATTCTACCAATCCCGATTGTTCTAGATGCTCACAGATATCTTAAATTTTCCAATGAAATAGCAAATAGAGTAGACCATTGCCTGATGATGCCCGATAGCTATTTATCCAAAATGAATGATGATTCTTTTTTATTCAAACTTTGTAATAACTTTAAACAAACAAAATATTTTAATTCACTACGTGCCCAACTCGGATTAATAATCTTTGATGACAAAGTTTTGATTTTAGCATCATTCATACAGGTTTGTAGAGAATCAAACGGAGCATCTTTTTATATAAATCCTGAGTCAGGACACTTAAAGAGAATAAAGTTATCGACATAAAGGTGAAGAGTCGATTCATTATGAAACATCGGTTACATATTCATAAGGAAAATGGTTTACTTGAATAGCATCTAAATAGATAAATCTATAAGTTGTTTTGATTTTTCTAATAAATGAGTTATAATTTATACAAACACGGTACACATCTTGTTTCTTAAACAAGAATGAGATCAATGACATAATTATTACGATAAGCTTCAACAATTTGTCGAGCATTGTCATTAATATGATTAAGTTGTTCCTAAGAAATGTCATAACTCATCTTTTGATTGAAAATGGTGTTAATTTTGAACTTGAATGACGTGATGTTGTTATTACAACTTTTGGATGTTCAACTCCATCTCAACGATATTCATCGTCTTCAGCTGAAAGAATATCTATTTAAAAAAAATTCAAATAAAAGAATCAAAAACTTATCATTTTTTTTTTAAATAAATGCAATATAACTCTTGCACCATCATCATTTCAATCGATTTGTTGCTACAATTTTGATACATCTTGATGAAGATCCGTTAGTAGTTTTCTATTTTCTATATAAATGCAGAAATAACTTACACATTATCATCAATAGCCTTTTTAGGACGCTTTTTTATCTTCAATTGTTTATATATATCTATATGTTCACGTCTTAAACGAGCTTGTCTTCTTAAAATCTAAAATATTTTCTTCTTCATTTTATTATCAACTTTATTTTTGTTTGACTTATTTTTTTTAAATCAATAAGAAAAAGAATTAATTGTTTTTACAATTATTCTAACGTCTTTCTTGTCCTCGAATTAATGTCAAATCTTCATGAAGTATTTCATTTAATGAAAAACCACATGAGTCAAACGAATGAAAATGATGGTTTAATTCTTGAATACGTTCTTCACCAAGTACTTCAAATACTTCACGTAGTAAACGTAATGTACGAATACGATGAAACATATTTAAACAGTCGATTTCATTATTGGGCCAACGTGTATCAAAATCTTGAATTTGTGTAAAATACATTGGACAACGGTTTGGATTTATATGCCAATTATGATTATGATCAATTATACCATTGGTTCCACCTGTTGCTCTATTGCAGTCTTCAAGTCGTTTCCCACAAAAATAACACCAAACTTGCGAACATTTTTGACAAGTCATATGTGTACAAGAATCATCTTTCATGCCAGCTAAACCACATTTTGGACAAGACATTTTCTGTCCACTTTCGATCGCTTGATCAAACATCTTTTTTTCATTTGCTAATGATTCACACATGAAATGCTTCATCATTTCGTCTTCTTCAGATTGCGTTACATAAGGACCACGAATTTTTGGACAAGCTTTTCGACATACTAAACATGATGTTATACCACAATCGGGACGTTCACAATGAAGAATACTTGCATCATGTACACCGCGTATAACAATATAACAACAAAACGGACAATTATCTAAGCGTTCATTTGAACTGATTACTGTTGCCAAAACTGTCGCCAACATATGTTCACGATAAAGTTCAATTTGTGTGGGTGTCAATTGTCTTTCAAATACATCAGTATCCAATTCAACATGACATTGAAGACAACGTAAAGGTGTATAATGCTGTGGATCGGAAAAATATAAACCAACAATCTGTTTCGAACAATCTATACAAAAATGATGCGATTGAACACATTTTATTCCTCGATGATTTGGTTCTAATTCAGATTCACATGATCCACATACAATTTGATTTTTGCTTTTAGAACCTGTTGTTGTTGATTGTGATTCGTGTTTTTTTGTCGTAAACATTTTTTTATGATGAAATGTGAGTATGTGTGATAAATAAAAAGTACACAGCGCAAAAAAACAAGATATTTTTCATCAACACACACTAAAAGGAAGAAGGAGAAAAACAATCATTAACCATGCAATGAGTCCGACTAAAGTTGACACATTTATGAAAGGAAAGAAAAGAAAAAGACAAAATAAAGGAATTTAAATTTTTTTAATGCTTAATGAAGAAAGACGGTGTGGGTGTGGGTGTGGGTGTGGATGTGTATGTGTCTCTTTTTCTAGCACTCACACCCACACCCACACCCATAATACAATTTATGAATCAAAATATTGGATTCGACGATAATTCATTATCACATGAATTTGTCATCAATTTCATTGAAAGTCTACCAGCTGATTTAATCCCTGATTCGGCCAAGTATGCTTCATTTATTTGCTTGTGTGACATGCCATCGGCATATATACAAACACGTGTAAAATTTTTCTGTTTATTCAATATTTTTCTTGAAAAAACATTGCCAAAGATAGACTTTATTGTACCATCGGGCATAGGTTTTATTGTAGATCGAATTCGTTCGGTACGACATTGTATATTATTTATAACAAAATATGATGTATTCAATGAAGCCTTAGTTAAAACTGCCGATAGTTCAGCATCATCAGAAGTAGATATTAAATTTGATATTGTAAAAGTTAGTACAGCTGAACATCTCGAGGAAACCATGTTTTATCAAGCATATAAACAATTAAATTCTGATGCATCTCGAACATTTCGACGATCGAATGATGAAAAAGCCTGGAAAGCAACCTATGTTGGCATGTTTAGTGACGATCAAGGCGGACCTTATCGAGATTTAATAACACGAATATGTGCTGATTTATGTAGTACCCAATTACCATTATTTATTCTTTGTCCGAATGGATGAACAAGCAATGGTTTGAATCGTGATCGATGGATTCCAAATGTTTTTCCACCAAATCGATCCATACCAGTTGATATTAAAAATCAATATCGTTTTGTTGGACAACTCATGAGCATGGCAATACGTTCGAAACAATATTTAGATGTTCGATTTCCAATTTTACTCTGGAAACAATTGATACAAGGAGAAGTTACAATTGAAGATATTGAAGATATTGAAGCTATTGACATTTCAAGTTTTGCAATTATCAATAAAATGAAAGAAAATATGCAAAAAGTAACAGCTCTCAATGAATGTGATGATGATAATGCGAATAACAATTGTGACTATTTATTTAGTAGTATTATGACTGAACTTACATTTGATGTCGTTAGTTCAACAGGACAAACTTATGAACTTATTCCAGGTGGTTTTCATATACGAATAACTGCTGCTAATTTTGGAGATTATTGTATACGCTATCGTCAATATCGTATTAATGAATTTCATCGACAAATTAAATTTATTCGTCAAGGTTTATATAATGTCGTGCCATCGGGTTATTTGACTTTATTTACGCTTTATGAATTAGAAGAAGCTGTTTGTGGTAAAGGTTGTATCGATATTGAAATGCTAAAACGTCATACAAATTATCGCAAGGATCATGAATCTTCGCCACATATTCAGAAGTTTTGGTCAGTTTTAAGTGAAATGTTTAGTGAATAATAGAAAAAACTATTTTTAATATTCGTCTGGGGACGAAGTACATTGCCGTATAGAGATGATGATTTTTTGACAAACTCTACAATAACACCTCTCGAAACAAGTGGTAATGTTGATGAACCTCTTCCTAGTAAGTTTATTTCAATAATCGAGCTTTAGACAAATAACATTATTTTATACTCGACTAGCATCACCATAGTTTCGGACGATGAACAAGAAATCAAACTGATAGTATAGAGAGAATATACGTAATATCATTTTATTCAATGACCGTAACCGGTTTAAAATCGCTTGTTTATTTTAGTAATCATGTAGCAGAATTCGATTTATCTTTTTCTGATCTTTCATATAGTTATCTATCGTTCAATAAATAGATAGTCATTGAAAAAGATGAATACCCTGCCTTTCGGCTATCTTATGGTATGAGGTGCCGCCAAAAGACAGCTTCGAAAGTCCGATATTTTCTTATAACTATTACTAGCCTTAGCTCCGGACAGAAGACCAGCTTGACTCAAAGTTATTCCCGCTTAATCATCTAAGCTCTCCATATATGCTGACTAATCATATGCTAGCTGCAGAGACTTCACTGTATGACAACCATGTAGTTCGAAATAAACAATCGTTAGTAACTTGTCTAAGATAATTCTGTGTTTGATGGCGCTGAGGTTCCAATACAGTATCTTATGGTCACCTGTCGAACATCTTAACCATTCAGTAATGACGGCTTAAATAGCCATTGGCAATGATAAACGACTACAAAATGCTCCAAAGTTAAGACGTCGTTGAATATTTATATAGTTAGTAATAAATAACAACAAGAACTATAAAGTCGTATTGGAATTCAAGGTCATAACTTTGAAAAGCACCATGTAATGGAATTATATTCTATCAATTCTGCTTTAACAATCGAGAAAATATTGTGAATGCTACTTTCAAAAATGAATTCAATATTATGTTTTTTTTCCTAGGATCGTACACATGTGCCTTTACTCTTCAATTACCTGCATATTCAACTAAAGAAATCATGTATGAACGTTTTAATTATGCAATTACCAATTGCTCTAGTATTGATACTGATACGTACATGAACTAGATTTCTGTACGTATGGATTCACTATTGTTAAATTTCAACTTCATATTACATTGCAAAAGGCAGTTTAACAAAAAAGAATTCTGTGAGTTCAATTATTATGAACACTCTTAGAAGATTAATTCAATGTTACAAATGACCTTTATTTTCGAGTGAAATCGTGCTTGATTTTTCTACATTTGTGATAATAAAATAAATCGAGAATATTTGTACACAAAATCAGTATATAATAAAGTTTATTTATTTAATATACAGATAAGAGTGTTAACAATAGTTATCATGATCATTCTGTTGACGAAATCGGCAATCTCTACAATGACTCGATCAAGAAGGGAGTGGGTGTGGGTAGAAAGAAGAAACACCCACACCACACCCAATTCTTTATTAATTTAGGGAAAAACCAAATAATTGAGCAGTAGTCGGTTCTAAGTGAACATCTTAGAAATGGTACGCTTAGAAATTTTACAATTGTATGTTGATATCTAATCTACTAATTCGATAGAAAAATTCAAGCCCTTTCAATGTACGCAAGGCTGACCTCTCTAATTAGTTCCCTTACCCAGTGATAGACGGTTTCATAAGACTATCTAAATCGACTAGTTGACCACTAGTCCGTTTGAAATAACTTGAACTACGTAGTTTAGACTATGCTTAGACTATTGATAATGGTTTTTCTTTTTTTGATAACTTTATGAAAAGAAAACAGATTAAACTTTGAAAAATCATCAGTTTTAATTAACTAATGGGCGGGAATAATCAATTTCTATAATATTGATTTAGTTACTTCGCACACTATCAAAAAAAGGAAAAAAAACATTATCATTAGTCTGAGAATAGTCCAAACTACCTAATTCAAGTCATTTCAAACTGACCAGTGGTTAACAAGCCGATTTAGATAGTCTTACAAAAAATGTCTATAACTTGGCAAGAGAACTATCTAAAGAAGTCGGTTTTGCGTAGATAGAAAGGACTTGGATTTATCTATCGAATTAGTGGATTATATATCAACATATAATCGGACAATTTATAAGAACATTGTTTCTAAAAGGGTCACTTAGAGTGGACCACTGCTGACTTACTTAATTTCTCCATAAATTAATAGAGAACTTTTTCTTCTTTCGAACAGTGAAAACCGCAGATCGATATCTATTTATTTCAATGATTAATTTACCAAATAACCGAGTGCACGGTATGTTTTGCCGACACTAGTTTCGTTTCTTTGCCAGCTCAACATAATACTATTTTTATTTCGAAACCAAAAGAATAAACATTTTTTTTTCCATTAACATGTTTTAATAGTCATAAAATTATACTGTTGATCGATAAATAGAAGCAGCTTCCATATCAGATAAATAGAATTGATATTTTTGATTTGTAACAATCATTTGAGGATAGTTTATTAAGACAACAAGTTTGCCAAGACATTCAATTAGTTGAAATTCTAATTGCCAGATACATTTGAAAATTGTTGAATTCGATAATACATAAATATATCCAGTTTTATCAATAGTCATTGTTGATATTGTTTTTCCTTGTTCCGTAAATGGTAAATTTACTTTTATTGTACTTTTATCATCAAGTGACATAGCAAAGATTTGATTTGAATCATAAACAAATATTTTGTTTAATTGTGAATGAAAAATTAAGCACGGACAATATTCAATCGATGTTGTAGCGAATTTTTCTATAGAAATAGTTTCATTTTGCATATCAAGTGAATAAAGTTGTGAACTTTCAAGTAAGCTAAAAACAAAAAAATTAGGTATTGATGTTGATGAAATAGACCATGGTTGAATTGATTGTCTTTTTGAACCATTATTGAATACATTATAATCATAACAAAAAATATTTTTTGATGCTTCTCTAACAAATGGATGATCATCATTAAGTTCAATTGTTAAAAATGTAATAACACCTTCGTTCAATATAATTAATTGATTATTTTCTGACAAAAATAATATTGAAGTAGGATTATCTAATCGATAATTTCTCCATCCATATCTACGCCAATTTCTTCGATCGGTTATTCTTTCTTCATCATCATCTGTTGATGGTTCACTATCATCAAATGGATTCGATACACGAGGTGTGTCACGTTCATCATCAGACTCACCTTGAGAATATTCGTCATCATCATCATCATCATCGATATTATCTTTTTGAAATTTTCTATTATGTTGACGAACAATCTCTACATTATTATTATTATTATTGTTCAAATCGATTCGTGTTAATCGATAGTTTGTGAGAACATAAAGAATATTACGTTCTTCATCTATTTGTATTGATGTTGGTCGGTTCAAATTGCATGCAACCACTTCACAATGAATACTATTTGAGGCCATTACTTTTGTATATATGGAAAATATCTTAACGAGTTAATCACTGTTTATATATATATGTTATATTGTTCTTGCACAATAGTTTCAAACAATCATGCAACAACCTTTTTTTTTTGTTTTATCTGCCAGTGTTCTCTTATGATTATCTTATCTTAATAGTCAGCGACATTTATATAAATGGTTCTCGTCGACGCATTTGTATGTGTAAAAAGTGATAATTGTTTTAATAAATAGACAAGTTAAGCAATTAAACATACTCATATCAAATTCGACCAAGGATGGGGCAGTCAAAACGAGTCAAGGCTTTTTGAGTTATTATGTCAGTCTTTTTATTTTCACTAGGAAGGTCCACGGCAAAGAACGGAGACTCGGAAGATCCATTTTTAGGCTATTGCTAATTTGGGTTAGTTCATGATTTCCTAAATACAACATTTTATGAGAAATCGTTTGGTAACAAGCCAACCTAAGACGGATATTATGTAAAACGATCACCAATCTCATAGTCTATCTCTGGTAAAAATTTCAGGTCGAATCGTCAAAGTTTTGCTTAGTAATAGTATAAAAGCCATCCAGAATTCGCATAATAATCATATAGTTCTCCTGTGACTTACATGCATTTCTATTCATTGTTTTGTTAATATTCTCGAGAAAGGAAAAATAGCAAAGTGAGTTTTTGGTTGATTCTTGTAGCTCGGAAGAAGGACTACAAAGTGCAATATTTTTTAATTTTCTTATGAGTGAACTTTGTTAGAGAAGCCCAACCGAATTCTCTAGGATCGCCATGCTTTTGCATTTTCCACTTTTTTTTCGATAGATTTCCATCGGAAAAAGTCCCATTTACGTCAAAATAAATAGCATATTTGCAATTAGCCTGAAAAAATGAGCCATCCTATATATATATATATATATATGTTTTAATGTATTCTTAGAAGCCTTTTTTCCTCAAAAAAGTTACTAGGGGTCCCGCAGGGATTAGCAGAAAAAGAACTTTTCTTAGAAAACCATTTAGTCAGTGAAAAAGAAGCTCTGAACTTATCAAAAGTTACTACTGCACCAAAGCACAAAGAAATAAACAAGGAAAAATGGAGTTTCGGTGCTGGTGTGGGTATGGGTGTTGGTGAAAAAAATTAAAAGCTTGACCCACACCCCACCCACAACTACCCTTGGATAGATGGATTCATTAACACATGAGTAAAGCACATTTTCGCCGAGTTTCTGTTCTAGTTTTGCTACGATTCTATAGTGTAGTCGCTAAGTGGTCACGGGTCTATCCACGTAACCACCCAGTGTTAGATGTACATTCTAAAACTTTCCATGGTGCTCTATATTCCTCTTATGTTCTGAAATGTTCCATTTTCAATACTGAAAATATGAGTTGTTGTCACTGTGTGCCTCTCGTATTGTTTGTTTGACTTCTCAGTCAGTTACTCAATTTCCACTTTTACAGTACCATCGTCACTTTTCACATGTGAATAATTCAGCTGCTCCAAATTGTGGTTTTTGCTCGACATCAAACTTGGTCTGAAGACATGACCGATTCATTAATAATCAATAGTCTTTTGTCGATTGGCGATCGATGGCGAATTGTTTCGCTACGTGTAGATCAAGGTATGACTCATAACCAAATAGCTTCTATTATTAATTGTTCATGTGCAACCGTTTTCAATATTTTACAATTATTTCGTGAAATAAATAATGTTATCGAACGCGAAGGATGTGGCCGTACCTCATTCAATAGTAGGAGACGGTTTCAAGACAATATAACAGTAGATAAAATGATAGAGAATTTCATGTGCTATCAATGGTATAATTTCTGCTACATAATTTATTACTTTAAGGGTAATAATTAAAAAAGTAGCGAAAAAACTATATATTTTTGGTACTTGTCGATTAAGGATTTTTTCATTGTGCTTAAATTATTTTTGCAATACGTAAATGCAAGACAGTTGACAAATTTATAGGAAGACAGAGAATTTCAAGCTCTATCAGAATATATAATTGTCTTTTTAAACAGGTAATTCTATAGTATTAAAAAATTTAAAAAACTAATTTTGATCACCATGACAAAATCATATCTTTGGGAATCTGGATATGAGGGTACCCACGTTGCATTCAATTTCTGTTGGTAATGAATAGATCTAAACTAAAACCTAATTATATAGGATAATAGAAAACTCCACGAGCTTTCAAAATATGTAATAACTTTTTAAAAAGTAGAGTACTACAGTGAAAATATATTCAAAATACGGAGTTTAAGTGTTTTTTTTTCTGGAAGTGTATATCCTAAGTTGTTTTCAGACTAGTTGTACATCGGTATGTAGTAGATTTTCATTGATTTGAGTTAATAGTTGTAGATGAAAAAAAAAACTTTCAGTGTAGTCTATCGTAAACTAATATTAGAGTCCATGTATGCTTTATGTAAAATGTGCATTTCGAAAAAACATTATTGTTTTTTTTTTTGAATAATTGCTGCTGATTCTCCTTTGTTTATTACTTTCCATATTTTTGTATAATTTTTTTGTCGATTGTTTCTATTTATATTCTATTAAAATGACTATCAGTAACTTGTCTGTCTTCTAGAACTAATGTTAACTGCAGCTCAATCAAAACTGATTCACTATAGATATCGGCTGGTTTCACTGACTCATCTTAATTCAATCTACATGCTTTCTCTCTCGTTTTATAAATATCATCTTCTATGGTTATTCAATAAATACGGCGATTTTTCTTATTCTATTTGTGTACATGTTTTCGACAGTGCTAAACGAAAGAATTCGTTAAAGAAAAAAAGATAGAGGATGATACGACAAATGTTATTATGAAAGCATTTTTTTCTCAACTAGACTAATACAAACATACTCATTAAGATTCGTAGACTACGCTTTCTTTTCTACGAATATTGGTTGAAAAATGAAACAAAATGACATTAGCAAGCTGGCAACTACACCTGCCATTCGGAAGAAGCTGATAGCTTCACTGAAAAATCACTCAGAGAGAAAGAAAAAAAAGTTTCTTCGCTGGCAACAATAGAGCAACTCACATTTACTTTTTCTTTTGAAGAGTGTTGTGCTCTCGCGTGCTGTAAATACAAGTAGGTGAGTCTTCAAAACGGCAGACACTTTTTTGTTTTTCATTTTCTAAACCTTTTTTACTTCTTAGTATATTTTCACTCAAGTTAAGAAGTCTTAAACATTCAAAATCGCAATGAATATCCATCCTTTTGTATCTACAGTTGTTTTCTCAGTATCTTATCTTAGCAGTGCATAAACCTGTCGCGGCTTACTAATTTATCATACAATTGGAAATTTCCAACTTGTTCGCACATAAATGTAAATTTAGACGTGTTCGGCTTCGCCTCATCTGATAATATCGAAATCAAAACAGCTGTTAGAATCTTCCATTAAAAATATTTCAGAAAAGAATTATATAAAAACCTAAAAGTTTGGTAAGAGTGTAGATGTAAATAAATGAAAGACAACATTCAGACTCTTATCCAAAATGTATACATGAATCACCACATACTAGTGATAGTCGGGCCTTTTCGAAACGGATCTAAAAACTGTGGTAAACAAGAAAGTAAATATAAGATCATAACCTTGTCTTATGAGTCCTGATAACTAATTATTTTGAATATTCGACTTTATCTCTCAACATTTTTGATGGACAATATCGACATTTCAGACTATTTTTATCATCCATCATTCACATAGTTTTGCTTGCCTGTAATATTCTGTATTACCGTACTGATCTTTTATTATATGTACATGTTAAACGATAAACTGTACGAATGGCAGATCCAATTCAAAAACTTAAAAATGATATAGCTTTAAAGAATGTAATGATATTTATTGGTAAAGGTATATCGATCTATACAACAAACGGTGAACAAAGAGTACTGGACTGGAAAGGATTACTAAATCATGGACTACAACAATGTTATCAATCAGAATGGATAAGCAACGAAGAATTCGAAGGTTTCAATACAAAGCTGAACAGCAATACGACAGAACTTGATGACTATTTATTTGTTGGCGACCAAATTAAGTCTTCTTTTCCAATGAACACTGATGAAACAAATGATGATCTTTATAAAATATGGTTAAGAGAAACTCTAGGACATTTATCAGCTAACAGATTGGAACTTATTAAAGTTATAGGAGAGTGTGGATGTCTAATTTTAACAACAAACTATGACTTATTGCTTGAAGATGTACTTGACAAAAAAGTATTAGCTTGGACTGAATACTGCACTAAAGGTATTGATGATTTGTCAGAAAATTTGAAAAAATGGTATTCTACACGTATACGAACATGTTGAAAATATAGATAGTGTAGTTTTCAATAGTGATGATTATCATCATCTTTTTAAAAATAAATGTAGAAAATCAAAATTGAGAGAAATTATGGGAACGAAAACTTTGTTATTCATTGGATACGATACCGGATTAGATGAATCAGATTTTTCGAATTTATTGAAATGGATATCTTTTGTAACAGATGACAAACCATTGTCCATGTATAAACTTAATAAATTCAGGAAAACTAGAATATTTCATCAAATATCTGATATTTCATTTTTGGAGAATATCAAAGATATACAATATGGTTTCAATGCAGAAGATCTATTACAATTTTTAAGAAGTCTTAAGTCATTTACACCAATAGTACGTGAAAGTTTGTCATCGGCAGACCGAAAAGAATTCGTTCGCAAAAAATACTTGAATTATCTTATCAATGAATATGCGCATGTGTCTATTTTTGGATATTCTAATACTAATATGAATTTACCATTGGAAACTGTCTATGTAGAGTTAAAATTTGATCCAACAAATCCATCAATTACAGCAATGAAAATGTTGGAAATTGCTGAACAATTTAGGCGTAAACTTTATTCGCTTAGCTTTTTTAATAAGCATGAACGGCAACAACTAAACAGAGCTATTCTAGAAAAGAATGCCTTCAGTGCCCAAATGTACTGTAGAGACTTTATGATTGATCAATGGTTACATGTCTTGTTAAACAACAAAAATATTTTTACTGCTAATGATGCAAATGCTGTTAAAACTAAGGTGAATCGATTAAAGCAAAGTATTTTGGAACAAAGTAATTTTAAAGAAGCAAGACCATATCAAATTCAACAAGCATATAATGAGTTTAAACATTTCATAGTTTTAGGTCATCCTGGTTCAGGGAAAACTACACTATCGAAATGGTTGATCATCAATATGGCTAAACAATGTTTAGGTGAGAAGAATATGTTATTCGATCATATTTATTCTAAGAAAGAGAAATTACCAATTCTTATTCCTATATGGAAATACGTTGATAAAGTAAAAGAAAATGATGGTGAAAACAAATTTACTTTACTTCAATTTATTTATGAAAATCCTACTTTTGACTCAACATTTTTCAATGATGAAGAACGAATAGAATTATCATTTTCGATAAAAGAATTATTAATTGAAGGAAATGTTTTAGTTATATTCGAAGGTCTCGATGAAGTTCCTGTTCATATAGATCGATCTGATTTAATAAAAGAAATAAATGCATTATTAGAACGAGAAATAGATTATGATGTAATACATGATAAACTTACTTATTCTGTTTATGAACAGAAAGAAATACATAATACCAGAGATCCAACAATCGGAAATCGATTTATCATAACAAGTCGTATTGAAGGAAGTTATTTTGAAGATGTCAATTTTTTTATTCGAAGATTAACCATTGAAGATATGTCTAACGATGCTCTTAAATTATTTTGTAATTCATATATGAAATGTATTAATGATATTTCACTTAAAGCTGGAAGAATTGTCAAAGAAAGTAATAATGATCAATTATATAATGAAATAATCAAAAACAAAGATATTTTTCATTTGGCTATTAATCCACAATTAGCTAGTGTGATTGCTGCAGTTTATAATCAATGCGAAGGTCAATTACCAGAGAAAAGAATTGATTTATATGAAACAGCTATCGAAAAAATGATAGAACGATTAATAATATTTTATATTGATTTTCCAACAGATTATCTTGATCAAGAACATGGATTGAATACAACTATGCTTTGGTCAATCTTACAAGAAATAGCTGAATATCTTCATAGCAGAGTTGAAGCGTTATCAGAGAAGATGTTAAAAGAAATAATAAGAAAATGTTTATTAGATTGTCAAAAACAATCATCAAAATTTTTAGAAACAAAGGTTGAAGAATTAATCTCAAAACTTGTGGATATTTTTAAATATCATTCAGGTGTGCTCAATGAATTTGGTCATAATAGTTTTCGATTTA